GGGATTCCCCCCCCGGACGGGGATTTGGAGCCCAAAAAGCCGGACATGTCCGGGAAAATCCGGACGTATGGTAACCCTAGTATACGCTTGCTCCGAGGTCCAAGGGGAAGTGAGGGACAGACCTACTGAGAGTCTCTGGATGAGGATAACAAGGGAAAAGAACAGTAGCAATGTTATGGTGGGACTCTATTATAGACCACCAAATCAGGAAGAGGAAGTGGATGAGTTATTCTACAAGCAGGTAACAAGATTATCTAACACACATGAGCTAATATTAATGGGGGATTTTAACTTCCCTGATATCTGTTGGAAGACTATTGCAGCAAAACATAATACATCCTGCAAATTCTTAGCATGCTTAGGGGACATCTTTCTGATTCAGAAAGTTAAGGAAACAACTAGGGGATCGCCCATTTTGGATCTGGTTTTGACCAACAGGGATGAATTAGTTGCGAACGTGAAGGTAGTCAGGAACTTGGGAGGAAGTGATCATGATCTGATAGAATTCAAGGTCCTATGGAAAGGAGGATATGGGAACAGCAAAACAAGGACACTGGGTTTCAGAAAGGCAGATTTCACTCGACTCAGAGAAATAGGCAAGGTCCCATGGAAAGACCAATTAGGAAGAAAAGGAGTCAAAGGGGGCTGGCAGTTCTTAAAAGATGTAATACTAAAGGCTCAACATCAAGCTATTCAGAAAAAAGATAACAAGAGCCACAGGAGGCCAACGTGACTGCACAAGTAACTTTTTAGCTATCTAAAATCCAAAAGGGATACATACAGGAAATGGAAGGAGGGACATGTCACCAAGGAAGCATACATAGGAATAGCATGAGCATATAGGGACAAAATCAGGAAAGACAAGGCCAAGAATGAGTTATAGCTGATATGAAATGTTAGAGACAACAGAAAGGGGTTCTTCAAATATGTCAGACAAAAAAGAAAGATCAAGGATGCGGTGAGTCCGTTGCTCAATGGAGAAGGTGAGCTGGTAATGGAAGATGATAGGAAGGCAGAGCTGCTCTATGCCTACTTTGCTTCAGTTTTCTAAAAAAATAAAACAACATGTGACTGGACGACTTTCAACGTTACCACAGACAATAAAGGGGAAGGGATGCAGATTGGAAAAAGTAAAGAATATGTCAGAGATCTTCTGATCAATTTGAATGAATTCAAATCAGCAGGGCTGGATGCTATTAACCTGAGGGTACCGAAGGAATTAGCTGAAGAAATCTCAGAGCCACTGGGAATAACATTTACAAACTCATGGATGACAGGAGAGGTCCTGGAAGACTGGTGAAGGGTTAATGTAATGCCCATCTTTAAAAAAGAGAAAAAGGAGGAGCCGGGAAACTATAGACCCATCAGCCTGACTTCAATACCTGGGAAGCTTCTAGAGCAATGTATAAAACATTCAATTTGCAATACCTGGCGAATGAAGGGGTGGTCACTAGCAGCCAGCATGGATTTATCAAGAACAAATCATGGCAAAGCAGCTTGATTTCCTTCTTTGATAGGGAAAGTGATTTAGTGGATAAGGGGAATGTGGCGAACATAATATACCTGGACTTCAGCAAGGCTTTTGACACAGTCCCACATGACATTCTGATAAGTAAACTGGAGAAGTGTGGGCTCAACAGAACTGCCATTAAATGGATACATAACTGGTTAAACAACCACAAACAAAGAGTAACTATTAATGAAATGATGTCGAATTGGAGAGATCTCAAGGGGGGGTTCCACAGGTATCTGTTCTGGGTTTGGGTGTTATTTAACATCTTTATTAATGACCTGGATGTAGGTATAGAGAGCATACTGATCAAGTTTTTAGATGACACAAAGCTAGGGGGGTTGCCAATACTTCGGAGGATAGAGCTAAAATTCAGAGAGATCTTGATAAATTGGCGAACCGGGCTATAGACAATAAAATGAAATTGCACGAAGATAAGTGTTAGGTGCTACCCTTAGGAAAGAAATACCAAATGCACAAATACAGAATGGGGGAAGACTGGCTTGGCAGCAGCATTGCTAAAAAGGATCTGGGAGCTGTGGTGAATCACAACCTCAACATGAGTCAGCAACGCGATGCTGTTGCAAAAAAAGCAAATGCAATTTTAGGTTGCATTAAGAGAGGCACAGCATGCAAGTCACGGGAGGTGATAGTACTGCTCTATTTGGTGCTGGTTAGGCCTCAGTTGGAGTACTGTGTCCAATTTTGGTCACCAATCTATAGAAAGGATGTAGAGAAACTGGAATGCATCCAGAGGCGAGCGACAAACATGATCAAAGGAATGGAATGCAAGCCATATGAGCAAAGGCTGAAGGAACTGGGTATGTTTAGTTTAGAAATGACGAGATTAAGAGGAGACATGATAGCGGTCTTCAGATACTTGAAAGGCTGCCATAAAAAAGACTGAGAAAAGTTATTCTCTTTTGCCACGGAGGGCAGGACAAGAGGCAGTGGGTTCAAACTACAGCATAGCAGATTTAGATTAAATCACAAGAAAAACTTCCTAACTGTAAAAACAGTAGGACAACGGAACAGACTGCCCCGGGAGGTTATGGAAGCTTCTTCACTGCAAGTTTTCAGAAAGAGGCTGGATAGCCATCTGTCTTGTATGGTTTAGGCACAACAAATCCTGCATCTTGGCAGGGGGTTAGACTAGATGACCCGTGCGGTCCCTTCTAATCCTATGATTCTATGAAATACTAGAATCCACTCAGCCTCAATTTTTATCTAACTAAAGAACAAACAAATCTGTAAGCCATTTAACAATAGGATTGATTTCCTTCCATCTTTATTTTTGCTCGTGAACTGGGTTTTTAACAAGACCAGAGTCACACATGGAGTGTCTGCTTGCATACCTTATGCCTGAGATATGAAGAGTGAAAATGTGAGTATTTCTTAATATTGTACAGTAGTGGGATTTGGACATATAAAACTGAAAAAACCAACAAGCAAGAATCAAAGATTTAGAAATAAATCTGAATATACACGTGGTTCTTGGCTTCTTCATGTATTCAGCCTGGTCAAAAAAAGTTAAGTTCCCTTTAGGAGACAAATATTTTTATCTTAGAAAAGAGAAAAGGGGAAAATTTTATAGTTGACTGAAAGATATACACTGCAAAAAGAATCTATGTAGAAAATGTAAGGAAGTAATAAATAATAATAATAATATTGGATATTAAAATTAACTTTTTATTTACATAACATTCATGATCAAAACCTCTAAAATGAGAAACACAGTATTGCCAACCACAAAAGTTCAACGATCATAAATCAGACCCCGCAAAAATCATGAGATTATTTTTTTTAAAAGATTAAATCATGCTTTTTGGTCTGTCTTCTGTTTTTTGAATGTTCCTTGCTCACTCCTGATGTGTCTGTGTGACAATCACAATGTTGTCAAGCATATATTGAATCAGGCAATTTTGGGCCTCACAGCAGTTCTCACTGGAGGAACTAGCTGAGACTGGCACCTCCTTGTGCTAGATACTATACAAATACATAGTAAGAGAGAGTTCCTGCCATGACAAGTTTATCTAGTGCAAAGCATAGTGGTGAGCTTGCAGTCCGAGAGGTAGAACTGGGACCAAACATCTCATAGAGTGGCTACCAAACATCCAATAGATGAGAACAATTTTTAATCCCTGCTAAACAGGATTCAAACTGGTGACCAACTGGTGATAGCAGGGGCGTGCGCATGAATTTAAATTTGAATATTTCTGGAGGGGCACGTTAAACATACACAAATGAAAGGTTAGCACGACACCCTTCCCCCTCCCCCTGCATTTCTTGGGACGCCTCTGGCAGGGATGCCCAGCAGCGAGGAGGCAGCAGCTCCCCCTGCAGCAGGCACACTCTGTGTCCCTGCAACCAGGGCAAGGAGGAAGCAGCTGGCTGCAGGTCCTCCCCCACCCCTACAGCTGCAGCCTGCTGCTTCTCCTTCCCTGCTGCTGGAGTCCCCCACACTGCTGCCTGCTTTGCAGATGCCTGCTGAGGTGAGTCAGGGGCTGGAGGCAGAGGCAACAGGTGGGACTCCAACAGCAGGGAAGGAGAAGCAGCAGGCTGCCGCTGTAGGGGTAAGGGGAGGAGAAGCTCAGCCGGCAGTCGCCCTGTTGCTTCCTCCCCCACCAGACTTCAGGAACACACAGAGATTTTGGGTCGGGGTGGGGTGTGGGAGTGTCGGTCGCTGCCCCTGCTTGCCCCCCCTCGTGCACATTCCTGGATGATAGGGTCTATAACTCATTAGCAGTATCTGGAGGCATCCAGTCCCTTATAAGTGCTGATGCTGAGAATCAGTATTGCTGTCACGATAAGTAAGTTTATTAAATGAAGTTCTGGTCTATCTGAAGCTTACACATGCAGGATTTCCCACTTTCTATACACAGACAAATTCTCCCAAGCATTGTTTTCAGGCTATACACCCTATTCTTAAAGGAACACTCCTATTAACCAAATACAAATAATAAAAATGCAAACGTGAAACTAATATTAACACAATATCCAAATTCATTTATAAATAATGGGTTTTCAATACAAAATAATTCCAACAATTACTCCCGGCTCCTTACACAAAACTCTATAGTATATACATACATACACACATATTTTTTTCAATCCCTTCCCCACCCCCCGGACGGAAAATCAAGATCTACAAACTTCAGATCCCAAAAACAGACCTCTTCCACTTCAGCTATAGGTAAGGCCCTACTTGAATTGTGGGATGATTGTCAAATAGTTGTGGCTGAGTTGTGAACAAGACATGGGAAAATCGCGGAAAAGTAATAATGGACCTTTATTAATTGCGGTAATTTGGGAAAGCCAAAGTAGATCTATTTGTTTAAGAAAAAATTACTGGAACAATATACACACTCAAGTATTATATTCTGCCTGCTAATTTTTTTGATAACCAGACATTTTGATGCAGCTATATTACAGTCATTAATACACAGGCTGACAGTGGGACCCTGGCCACCAGCTTGTTGGGGCTGACAGCAGAACCCTCAGCTGCCAGGAGGCAGGTGGCTGGGGCTCCTTCTGTCAGCCGCCCAGCTGATAAAATTGTAGTGGAAGCATAATATTGCACGATCCGCAATATCACGAATTAAGTAGTGTCTTTAGCTATAGGAAAAATTAGTGGGAGAAAGCAAGCTGTCATCCTCTATGCTGACCAGCCCATACAGGCAGATGCAAAACACATATTGCCAATGGGTTACACAAGTATTTGTGAAACAGTAGTGGATGCAGGGCATCAGCATTCTTGGTTCTAAAACTTATGCTTCAGGGTTTAAGCCAATCACTAATTATTTTAAGAGTCTTATTGTACATGGGGGCAGATTATCCAGCATTTGCCTACTGCATAATTTGTACTCCTTCCTCTGAAGCATCTGGCATTGGTTACTGCCATGAACAGCACACTGGACGAGACAGACCTCAGGTGTGAAACAGCACAGCAATTCCTATGTTCCAGTTGCAGAGGCCCCGAGGTGTAGCCTCTTCATTGATTTTGTAGGGAAGCCAGAATCAGAAGGAAATCTATGATGTGCACTTTCTCTGCCCATAAGGGACTCTTTTAAGATGTACTTGGTTAGAATTTGGACTCAAGTATCCATAAATAGCAACACACAATGATACGGGTAATTGCAGGACAACAAGATTTTAAACTGCATTAATCAATTTACTCATACATCATCATATATAAAATAAACCAATCAACTTCAATACAACTTAAATAACAGAGTAACAGAGAACAACAACAAAAACAAAAATCAATAAAATAATGTTAAGGGTCTGTCTTAAACCATCAAGGCCAGGAAATTCAGAGTTAAGTCTGCAATCCTATTTTGAAACATACTGTCTGATGGTCCCTACAATACCTAAGAAATTCATGCAGATTAAAGGCAGTTTCAGCCTACACTTTGAAGTTTAGGGCTTTCATCAGTGTAAGACGGGTAATAAACAGTGTTTAAAATTAGTTTGTGTATGACTATGTTAATATTTTAGACACAATGTTCAGAAACAAAACAAGAACTACCAATTCAAATTTGCTCTTTTCATTTATGAAATGGAAGGGGGGAATCCTGCTTTCCTTTTGCAATTGACCTTGATAATAGCTGCTGATGCCTCTTTGCAAAACTGCTGAATATTAATCTTTTTAAAACACTGTATCCTGCAGACACTTTTCTAAGTTTTCCTTCTACACTAACAGATGAAGCAAACAGATATAATTCAAAATGATCTGTACAAACTGGAGAAATGGTCTGAAGTAAATAGGGTGACATTCAATAAGGACAAATGCAAAATACTCCATTTAGGAAGGAATAATCAGTTGCACACATACAAAATGGGCTGCCTAGGAAGAAGTACTGCGGAAAGGGATCTGGGGGTCATAGTGGACCACAAGCTAAATATGAGTCAACAGCGTAACACTGTTGGAAAAAAAAGCAAACATCATTCTGGGATGTATTAGTAGGAGTGTTGTAAGCAAACACAGAGAAGTTATTTTTACGCTCTACTCCACCCTGATTGGACCTTAACTGGAGTACTGTGTCCAGTTCTGGGAGCCACATTTCAGGAAAGATGTGGGCAAATTGGAGAAAGTCCAGAGAAGAGCAACAAAAATGATTAAAGGTCTAGAAAACATGACCTATGAGGGAAGATTGAAAAAAATTGGGTTTGTTTAGTCTGGAGAAGAGAAGACTGAGAGGGGACATAACAGTTTTCAAGTGCATGAAAGGTTTGTTACTAGGAGGAGGGAGAAGAATTGTTGTTCTTAACCTCTGAGGATAGGACAAGAAGCAATGGGCTTAAATTGCAGCAAGGAAGGTTTAGGTTGGACATTAGGAAAAACTTCCTAACTGTCAGAGTGGTTAAGCACTGGAATAAATTGCTTAGGGTGGTTGTGGAATCTCCATCATTGGAGATTTTTAAGAGCAGGTTAGACAAATACCTGCCAGGAATTGTCTAGATAATACTTAGTCCTGCCATGAGTGCAGGGGACTGGACTACATGACCTCTTGAGGTCCCTTCCAGTTCTGTGAAACAACACAAGGTAGTACAAATTCTAGTGAGACTATACAGTGCTGTGGGAATTCTCCAAAACCATTTTGGAGTCAGTGTAGTTACATGAAGGCTAAATGCAGTTCTGACTGAGTCACAGGATTCTTTTACCCCTTTGCTTTCAAACACAGGGGCCCTGAAAAATATTTCAGACTCTCAATAAAAATATCAGGCACAAAATTATGGCTGACCTTGAGGAAAATGGATAGAGGTGGAAGAACAAAGTGCCAATTGACCCCTAGAATCTAACTTCTCATTCTTTTTCCCACTCCCCACTGCTTACTATGTAGCTCTTTTAATAACAGACAGAATTTCTAGTCCATTAACCAACAGTTTGGGGAGGTACCAAAGAGCAGATGGAAGGAGGGCAACTGAAGATCAGCTTGTGTACAGGAAAGAACAAAGAAAAGGTTGCAGATAAAAGCTTAGAAGGGAAGGCCAGGTCAAGTCATTTCATAATTCTGAAGCAATTAAAAGTATTTCAAATTCCCCTTCTGTGTCTCAACAGAATCCAGAACTTTCTATAGCAGCCGAGCAGCTCGTACTGTTACACAGTAAGAGCTCCAGCACCTGCTTGCTGTTTCTTGTTAAGAGATTTTTAAATCATTTTTGGAATATTTCCACTTTTCATAACATGAACAAATTTGTAGTTGTTAAACAAGCTATTTGAAATATTTAAATCAAAGAAAAAAGGTTGGTGTTTCTGGTTGAACCACCCTAGTGATATTCTAAAGATTTGTTTCCTTAAAGCTAACAGCATATAGCTAGATATAAAATTTACCATGGAGTGAAGCCAGAAAACATTCTGTAAAAGTATTGGCCACTTTCTAA